TGGTTTTTATAGCTGTTCTACTTCTAAGAAAAGTAGGTGAGGTCCCACCCAAGCTAATAAAACGGTTGCCTTTGCCATGAGTAGGAGAGCATTGTGTCCTTTCCTGATGTCCTCTGTAGGCTTTTGTAGTGCTTTGTGCTCAAAAACACTGCCTGACCCTGCATGATGCTGAAGAACTGTAATAGTGCCAAACTGATTACCTTCAGCTCTAGCAAACTGATGCTATGTGATATCACCTTCTGGGCTTCCATGTCCTTGGCTGTGTGAGAATTTTGGGCATGCACCCCAGCCTTTGAGGCTCCCAACATTGTTATGTGTAGCCTGGGAGTTTGCAGGAAGGTTTTTACTTATGCTTTGGCCTTTGAAGAGATTACTCATGCAGAATTTTTCATTTAACTTCTGCAGAAAACTGAAATTTTTCCTTCTGCTTGACTGTGTTTTTGTTGGTTTCCCTTCTGAAAAGAGACAATAGGATAGGCCATAAGTGCAACCTATTTTGCCTACCATCCTTAGGTAATATAATCCAATACTTAGGGGCTGCCAGTCTTGGGAAGCCATTAGACAAACTGACCCCTCCAGCATCTTTGGTCCAACTTGGGCAAGTATCTGTGTGAGCTTTTAAAGAATCTCAAGCAAGTTCAACATCCATGTAGAAGAAGTTTAAGAGCAAATCAGTGTGAAAAAAACCCCAGATTGTTTTGAGCAGGAACCAAAGCTGCAGTCTTATGTACAATAACCTGGGAGCACCTCAGATGAACATAGTGCAAGCTGTTCTACCCGTGCACAAGCGTGCATCCCAAAACAATGGTAATCTGGCCTTTCCAAATAAGATTAAAAACTCTTCAGTCAAAGAAGATGTTTCCCCTGCTCTTTTACTATTGGAGACAAAGGAAAAATATATCTGGGATGAGACTCAACACAACATTTCAAGGCTGCAAGTTGATGCCTGTACACACACACACACACACACAACACAACACAACATTTCAAGGCTGCAAGTTGATAGCTTTACACACACACAAACACAAACACAAACACAAACACAAACACACACACACACACACACTTAGCTTTTTTTCTACACTGGAGCAGGTCCAGGAAAAAAGATGGCGACCCCATCAAATTCAAAACTACACTCTATGACTCACACATCAGTGCTTTACTTGTTTACTCAAAATGCTTTGCATATTTACCCCTCACTGTATTCAACAGGATTGTGATGAGACTAAGCATGTAAAACATTCATAGTCCGAGCTTCTCATCCTATGCACCTTAGTTGGGACTGTCTCTCAGTGATTTTAGTAGAGCCTTGCTTCTGAGTAGACATGAACACAATCACACTGTCTTACATTTTCACTTTTTCCAGCCTGAATAAAGGGGCAATATACTTCCTGGAAGGAAATAAAAATCTACGTTGTGTCCTGTGCAAATCTATTGGGCTAGAACTCTGGAGACCTGGATTTAACTCTCCACCTCACCATAGAAGCTCACAGGTGGTGTGTGTGTGAACAGTAAACCTATCTTTCAAAATATCAGAATTTGGCCAAAGGCTACAATAAAGGCGGTAGAAATATACAGCTGAAATAACACACACCATTTCATTTCTATACTAATTGTCTCTCAGGAATGATCAAGCACACACAAAAAGAGTGAATCTGCTACAATAGCTGAGCCCTCCACAAGAGTCAATAAAGCTGTGAGCAAGCAAACCTAGATGCATTTCTTTGGGAGGAAGAACCTGAACTGAACACATGGGGGGGGGCATCTAGGTAGACAACACAAAGTATTCATAGTCAAAGCTGATAGAAAAAAGAAGACCAAGCAATTTGGATTTCCTTGACTGTGCCTTCAGACAGAATGATAGCTTTTGTGATGTCCTGACTACCTCATCGGCAGAGATAGCCAATCTCAGTGGCCTAGAAAAACTGAGCCTGAGGTGTTCCCTTAAAGACGTTTTCCAGCAAGCCATGGGTGGGGGACCAAGCATAAGGGAAGAGTCTACAGCAGCTGTATGCTATAGCCCTACTGCAACATTGCGAGTCACAGCCATCCTTGAGCGAGCAGTGTTTTAACCCTTGAGTTTATGTTTGCACTCTTCTTAGCCTCTGGAGTGTCTTTAAATGTTTTATTTATTTATTTATTTGACTTGTATGCCACCCACACCCTGCAAGGGTCTCTTTAGTGGTTTTCAGCAGGGATAGCTTGTATCACCGTGTGCATAATGTAGGCAGATGATAATATTTGTATAGTATCATGTTGTGCGCAAGCTCTTAGTGTTTCAGAAATCTGGAATTACTGTTCTGTCATCATAGTGCTGCAGTGATCAATCAACACAGAAGCAGTCTTTAACCCAGACAAATTATTAATAGCTGCAGTAAGAGAGATCCGAAGAGACTGAAGACACAGTTGAGTAGTACAGGTGATTTCTGTTCTGAGGAGACAGAAGTATAGACGTGTATACTTCTTTTTGTCTATTTAAAAATTGTATATGGTCCTAATTAACACATGGAGGGAGCATATTCTATTCTGTTTGAGAGTTCTTTTTGAAACTAAAAATGTTCTTGATTCTTCAAACTCTGAGCTGGATTGCATCAAAAGATTTTCTACACTTCAAAACTGGTAGATTGTATAAACATTTTGCATTTTTATTTTGAGAATGTTTTGTCTGCATTCCTGTACACACTAAAATATCTTAAAAACCTTTGCTGTTTCTGTAGTGTACCGGATGGGAGCATTTTTTAGGAAATCTTATTGCAGGGGTGGGTATAATATGGTCATCCAGATGTAGCTAAATTATTTCTTTCAGCATCCCTCACCATTTTAATATTGACCAGGACTGATAGGAGTTGCAGTCCAAGAAACCTGGAGGGCTGTACTTTATCCCATTCCTGCTATATAGATCTTTACATTCACTTAACAGGGTCATATGTATTTTTCCCTTTGCCTCATATACTTATGTTACACTTTCATGCACATCAAACAGAATATGAAAGATTTGCTATATATTTAGCACATTAGATAAGAATAATAATAGTGTGCCACCAAGTTAATTCTGATTTAAGGCAACTCTTTTCAGAAGTGCTTAACCTTTCCTTTCTCAAGTTAATTCTGATTTAAGGCAACTCTTTCCTTTCTTCTGGGGGGCACCTGGGACTGTGCAGCTTGCCCAAGGCCACACCCCACTCCTAGGAGGCACCGTGGGGAATTGAACTTATGCTCAACAGCCAGATATCTAAACCACCAAGCTATATCTCAGCCCATTAGATACACACATGTACAACCACGCCTGCAGATGGGTGAAGTGGTAAAGGTAAAGGTTGCCCTTGACATTTAGTCCAGTCATGTCCGGCTCTAGGGGGCGGCGCTCATCCCCGTTTCCAAGCTGTGGAGCCTGTGTTTTCTCTGTAGACAGTTTCCGTGGTCACGTGGCCAGTGCGACTTAGACATGGAACGCCGTTACCTTCCCACCAAGGTGGTACCTATTTATCTACTCGCATTTTTCTGCATGCTTTCGAACTGCTAAGTTGTCAGGAGCTGGGACAAGCGGTCCGATCTTACGACTGCTGGTCTTCTGACCTTGCAGCCCAGAGGCTTCTGTGGTTTAACCTGCAGCGCCACCATGTCCCGGGTGAAGTGACCTGCCTGCAACTTACAAAAAAAGTCCTGTGCCTTCTGGGTGTGACCAGCCTTTGGTTCTTCACCTGCTTTGGACTTTACAACTCCCAGAAACCGGCATACCTAACGGTAAGAGATCACAAAAATTATAATTTAAAAGAAAAACACACTAAAGGGCTAAAAAGTTCATCAGTTTGATTGACAGTTTCTTCTGTAGCTTGCACTGATTTTCATGAAGCTCTCATTATTTCCTTCCAGCCTTCCGGTACTAGTCTTTCTCCCTATTCATTTAAGCACAAAAGCCTACTCAGTAGAACTGAAGTATCTTCTTTTTTCTCCCACTTAATATCCAAACTTTACATCACTGTGTGTGTTTTTTCCCCCCAAAGGCAACTCCTTTCTCCCCTCGCTTCCCGGAACTTTCCAAAAGGACGAAACCAGCTGGCGCTTGCTGTCCAAGGAGGGCAGCCTTAAGGACGTCACCAGAAACGAAACCGGTGCTTCCCTGCATGCCACGTGATTTCCACGAACGGAATCCCCAAGGCCGGCAAAAACCCTCCGAGTTCTACTCCTGTTGCATCATCACGAACTCGCTCCACCGCACTTCGTTCCACGAGCGGAAAAAAAAAAGCGGACTAGCCACCCCGCTTCTTGCCTCTGATTGGCCACCAAAGGTGTTTTGCCTGTGATTGGTCGAGAAGGACTCCAGCCAATTTCCCCCCCCCCCCGGCTTGCTCTATAAAAGGCTGGAGGGAGGGCGTGAGTTTTGTTGTTTCCGAAGTTTTTCCTCTCGCGGGCGGTAGAAAGCGTCTGGTAATAAGGTATTACAGGTATTGGCCATGGGCTCGATGGAGAACTAAAGGGGCAAAATGAGTTCAGTGTGGAGTGGCGGGAAAAAAAGAGCCTGGTTTTTCAATGTTCTTTAGTGGTGGCTGTGATAAGCTTCAAATCTGTTGTGTTTCTTTGAGACGCGATCAAGGACTTGGCAAATGAAGCGAGGATCGGTGTTGATCGTCTCCAGGGTGGTTAACTCTCTTGCCGAGCTTCTCTCAGCGAAGGGGCCGCTTTCCCCGTTCTTTTTGTGCAACTTGACCACCACAGCGGGCAGGGCTGCCCTGATGGCTCCGCGTATCCGCCGGGCGGCAGACAGGGATGCAGATCGGCTGTTGCTTTCTTTCCCTTTGAGGGAAAGCCGTGTTGGGAGGAGGGTGTGCAGGCGGGAAGGAGGGCACCCCGCCTTGGATGGATGGCCTCGTTCGTCTGGTGTAGCCGGGCTGAGAACCCGATGCAGGCCAGCTCGTGAGGACGGTTTGAGGGAAAGCCGTGTTGGGAGGAGGGTGTGCAGGCGGGAAGGAGGGCACCCCGCCTTGGATGGTTGGCCTCCTTCGTCTGGTGTAGCCGGGCTGAGAACCCGATGCAGGCCAGCTCGTGAGGATGCTGGTGCTGCTGCTGCTGCTGGCACGGATTAAGCCTTTGCGTGCTGGCTACGTGCCGATGCAAAAGTTGAACCCCTGGGATGGGGTGAAACTCATCAGGTCTCGGTTCTTCGCGCGATCGAAATGACTAGCTCGTCTGGAGGAGCTTCTAGGTCTGGGGCAGAGCTTCTGCATTTTTAAAAGAGCGCGAGTGCCTCGAGAGCGGGATTGCCAAGGGACGGACGGACTGCCCTTCGCATCGCTAGGTTGAGGTGGAAAAATGCCGCAGCTGCAGAAGTTGAAAAGCCCCTCTGAGGCCCTTCTAGGAGAAAGTGGCTGTTTCGCTTTGAAGTCTCCAGTCCGTATCTCATGCAAATGTATTATAATCAGACTTTGCCAACGAGCAGTTATTGACCATGGGATTAAAACAGGGTTTAGTCCTATTTAGAGTAGACCTATTGATATCGGTGGGACTCTTGCGCTAGTCAAGTGACTCCCATTGATTTTATTAGGTCCGCTCTTAGATGTGAGAGTGCCAGGGTGGTGTGTAATGGATAGAGTATAACGGGTTAGGGTTCAAATCCCCTTTTGGCCGTGGAAGCTCACTGGACCGGTGACAGTGACAAAGCACTCTTTGAGTATGCTATACTGTATACAGTATTAAGAAAAATATTTTAGGATCATTGTAAGTCAGAAGTGATTTAGTAACTTCATAACAACACTCTTAAGTGTGCCTAAACTGGGATCTAATCTAGTGCATAAATATCACTCTGTCAGGCATTGCAAAATTCTAGTAAAGTGTTAAATAAATCCAGATCAAGATACATGCGTAGGTATCTCTATTTCTTTATATTTCAGAAATGTCATCATTTCTGTTTTTCATCTGTTAGCTTCAGCGTTTGCAGACTTGTCCTGTCTCCTTACTTTACCATAATCTCTCTTACTGCTTTTATTGTGGGAAATTCATACTGAAATTGTTCAGATGCTTAGTACAGTAGGTTATTCCTGACTACACTGAGGGAGCAGCTGGATCACTATTTCCTGTACATTGTGTGAGTGCCAAGAAATAGCTGCTATCAGGCAGTGCCAGAAATGATCCAAAATGTCACCTTTTTGCCATCCGATTGTGCAGTAAGTTATATTGTTGGCAGGTAGAGAGACCTCTTGAATCTTTTCATAGAGTTGGTGCCCATGCTTTTTGAACACATAGGGTGTCAAGGTATGGCATCTCCTGTCCTGGCCTTCTAGCCTGTCTTGAATCTCTGTAGAGCAAGACTAGACTCTTGAGAAGTGGGCTAGGCAGGAGATGTGAGCTGGGGAGGAGCACAGTAGTGGAAGCAGCCTCTCATGGTGTCCTGGAAAATGTACACCCTAGATAATCCTACAGGTAAGTTAAAAAAATTCTAGATGTTGGTCAAGGTCCTTGTCCATCAACAATTTCTTTTTCTTGCTCTTTTCTGTGTTGTCCTGGAGCTTTATTTCATCAGGATCTATGAATACTTGGAAGGAAAATTTCTGTAAACAGACACTGCATGTGAAAACCTATGAGCAGGGGGCGTGGTTGTGTGATCTGCCATGAAGTCATCTCTGATTGTGGGAGATCTGTGATTAATTACTTCCTGAAGTTCTGATAATTAACAAACTCTGATCAGATCTTGCAGGCTAAGAGGTATGACTTTCTTTATTGAATGAATCTATTTCATATTAGTCTTCCTCTTGTTCTACTGCTCTCAAGTTTCTTAGCATTAATTTTTCTTTCAGCGAGTTTTGTCTTCTCTGGTAGCCTCAGTTTAATTACTGTATTTTAGCCTACTGGCAGAGTGGTTAAACTGCAGTACTGCAGTCAAGACTCTGCTCATTACCTGGGTTCAATTGCCACAAGCTCAGATAGCTGGCTCAAGGTTGACTTGGCCTTCCATCCTTCTGAAGTCAGTAAACTGAGTACCAACAAAGTGTAGCCTGCATAATTAAAAAGCAAACCACCCAGAAAGTGCTTTCAGCATGAATGGGTGGTATATAAGTAGTACAGTTTGCTTTACTTTCTAGTGAGACTGCATGCAGGAATCTGTGATCAGCACTGGAACCAGCTTATTTCATGCATAAGCCTGTTCCCAGTTTTTTCCAAGGCATTCCTATTTTTTTAAGCAGATAATGTAAGGTTAGGAAAGCTTTCTAGTTGTCATTGTTGTTAAATCAAGAGGGAGGGTGCAGTTCATCCAGAAATGAACCAGTACAGTATCCCCTGCTTTACATTTTATCCATTAACATCTGTGCCTCTGTTGCCACAGGAAAGGTTCAGGTTGATGGCAGGGGTGAGAGTGATGTGAAATGGAAATGAAGGGAGTGAGAAGGTGCTGAACTTCTAATAGCTCTTATAGGGGTTGCCATGTAATGAGTAGGAACACATTCCTGTAATTATAGATTTTTGTCAGCCTGGGAAAATAAAAAGGGGCACAGTCACTGAAGGCTGGTTCCCATTGGAGCTGCTGGGATAATCGATGGCGTCAGTGGTAGGCAAAGTGACTTCAAGAGGACTTCAAGCTCTGTTTTGTGGGTATTGTGCACAAAACAATGCAGGTGCTCTCTTTTGAATCCATGTTTTTCCTACTCGAGCAGCAAGCCATTGTCCAATGCCAATTTGTAGCTTGGGGTACTTCCAGACCAGGTTTTTATTGGATAGTCATGCTGCCCCGTTCATAGAACTGTATCAGGAATCCAGATGGTGTCTTCTATGTCTAGCCTTCCTGTGTCCCTGCTACCTCTCTCTCTCTCTCTCTGTGTGTGTGTGTACTGGGTGAAAAAATCTGTTAAAGAAAAAACAAAGATATGTTTGTAAGTGATGAGAGTCTCAAAGCACCTTCAAGAGCAAATCAGATGCAAGTAAAGACAAACAAATGTTCAAAATGTAATGAAAAGTATAATAGTGTTGGCAAAGGCTGCCCCATAACTACTCCTAATACATCAGTTTTTAAAAATGGACCTCAGAGCATGTTTTGATGTTATTGGCCATGATAGCTTCTTGCATCCATGCAGAGTATTTTAAAGCCTGAAGAGGGCTCCAATTACACTGGCCCTTTTGGAGCAGATTGGTGCTGTCTAAATAAGGTTGCCTGATTGTGGGGAGGAGCAATATGCCATTTGGTGAGGTCCTCATGTTCAAATGGCATCCAGTCTCAATATCCTGAAGTGGCTTTGTTATTAAGCCATGTCACAATACTCAACATTGACAATGGAAAGAGCTGGACTAAATAGAGTCATTTGAGGTTACAGAGGGGCAGAGGAAGTGAAAACATTTGTTTGTGTCTGCTTAGACAGTCACTTATGTGCTACATCACTCAGATTAATTTTTTTAAAAAAATTGTCTTGTGAGTAGTGCTAATTGTGGTTTCAATTAACACTTCACACAAAGGCAAAAACAGTTTTTAAAAAAATTAATCTAAGCGATTTAGCGTATCAATGGCAGTCTAGCAGAGGCAGAAAAATAATTTCACTTTCCTTGCCCATCTGCTGAGGAAATGTTCAATTTGCCAGTATCCTGAAGTGGCACTTAAGCCACTTCATGGTACCAGAAATTGACAATGGCAGGAGCATTGACTGCTGCAAGATTTGATTTTGGTCCATTCCCAGTGATCATGTGTGCTAGAAATGGGCCAAACCAAAGCACACCTACCGACATTTAAAAAAAAGTAGAAGCCCCTGACAGAGGCTCAAAAAGGTGCGGGTAGGGGACAGATTGGTTCACTCTAGTGATCAGGTTGTCTTATCACTGGCAAAAAAAGAGTGAGCCAACCCACCTACATCCCCCCCTCCCAGCAGTGCACCAAACAGTGGGACAAATGCTTCTCTGATCAGGGCCAGAGACGAGTTACTTTTTGAAATGCCATGCAGGTTTATTCTATGCCTCCTGCTTCTCAGCCTCATGAATTGGTGAAAGAGGTAGCAATGAGTAGTTGAGGAGCCACACGTTCTGTTTCTCTTTTTTCATCCGAACCAGGTGTGATGGATCTTTTGCACCTAAATCCTGAGTTCAAATAAACTGAAACTTATTCGGGACGAGACAAAGCTGCTTGTGGTGGATGAGCCTTGAACAAATGAAGTAGTGAAAATATCTGTGCCAGATGGCATTGTAGTCATTCTAACAGTGCAGTTTCACAGCTTTGAGGAGCTCCTGATTATCCTCTGAAATTTTGGGTGGAGACAGTGGCTCAGAGTCCATTGATTAGCTTTGGCTGATGTGCCCCTTCTTCGAGGAGAGCAACCTTTTCTCCTTGGGAGAAGGAGACGTGGCCCGATAATAAGAACGACCTGGAATGCTCTGGACTGGGGGTTGCTGCTGAGGATAGTTCAGCCCAGCATGGTGGAGCTGGGCTGTTTGCAGGTGTTGGGTCCTGGCAGCCCAGAACCACAGTGTGGTAACTTGTGATGCTGCAAGAAATCTGTTTCCTGGACAGATTCTTGCTGAGAAGAATTCTTGCCTTCTGAGCATTCTAGGCCCAACTTTATTGTTGTTGTTATTTAGTCATTAAGTCATGTCCAGCTCTTCGTGATCCCCATGGACCAGAGCACGCCAGGCCCTCCTGTCTTCCACTGCCTCCCGGAGTTGGTCAGAGTAATGTTGGTCGCTTCGATGACACTGTCCAACCATCTCGTCCTCTGTCGTCTCCTCCTCCTCTTGCCCAGCTTTATACTTGCCAGCTAATCAGAATGCTGCCACTTCTGGTCTGGACATTTTGGTTTTTTGTTTCCATTTTTTTCCTGCTCCCCTGTGTGTCCCCCCCCCAGCCCCTTGCTGGGAAAAAAAAAGACATAAAACTCAGTTTTTCTTCCCTGACAAGAATTTCAGCTGTTATTTGAAAGGGAGGAAGCACACACACAACAAACTGCACTGTTAGAATGTCTGCCATGGTAAATGAATTATTTCCTGGTTTTCATGTGGGGGGGGACCTTCTGAGGGTACTTGGAGCACATGAGATTCAGTGGGGGGCTGGAAGTTTTGGTGCCCTATTTGTGGAATGTGTTGGAGTTTTGAATTTCTGGTCAAATTCTCCTTTTGCTACACCATAGAAGTACAGAGTCCCAAAGGATAAAAGCTTCACGTTCCCCAGATAGTCCACCCCCCTTACTTATTAATTGGCACTTAAAGCCTCAATAACTCAGTCTGTAGGAGAAAAGAGTAGTTTAAAAAACACATCTCTTTGCATTCAAAGGCTGGAAGGAACGATTGGTTAATGCTGGATAGACAAGACAATCACCTCAGCCCAGAAAAGTCCATCCCCATCACACAAGCAGCATGTGAGATGGCAAACAAAACTTCCGCAGAATGTACTTCACAAAGAAGCTGGATGGGGACCCACATTGTGTTTATTATTTATTTCATCAGCTGAATTCATCTTCTGCCTTCCCAGAAGGTGGTGTGCAGAGCCCTCCTGTCCTTCCTTTGATCATACAAAAAGAGAACAGGTTGACTGGCTCCAGATTAGCAAGCGGGTTTCATACATAGCTGAACACGAATTTGAGCAAGATCTCCCGAGAAGTCTACTCAAAACACCACACTCACTCTCTGTAGGAATGCTTTCACTACCAGATGAAGGCCTTTTAATTCTCCCACTCCTTTTAAAGAGCTCTAGAAGGTGTTTCAGCATTCTTTTCAAGATTATCCGTGTTTAATTTCCACCATCGCCAACCCATCACACAGCCCCTGGAGACTTCCTGGTGACAAAAGTGATTTTGGAGGAGCCTGGGGACCTTTGGAATAAAAATTAGAAATCCTTTATTTTCAGTAAAAAAATAAATAAATCACCATAGTTGATGACATAGTTACATGAGATTACTGGATTTTGGCCAGTTTCTCATAAAGCGTATGTATCAAACTAATCAAAAGTCTGTTGACCTAGTTTTCCTCTTCTGGTTTTAATCTTGTTGATTCAGGTTTTTCCGTTAATCGAGAAGACATTAAGTAGTCCAAAACCTGTGGGCAGCCTTCTGTAGTTCAACTGACCAAGATACTGTACAATGACTGCAGCAGCAAATGAAAGGTGAGTGCCACTATTAACAGACAGCTGGCTAAACATTGAGTGGGAGAGCTGAGTGCAAACACATCTGAACGCCTTAATATGTGCTGTAGTTTTGTCGGTGAAGAAGAATGTCCTCTGCACATCGTTTAGTCGTTACATCGTGTCGGACTCTTCATGACCCCATGGACCAGAGCATGCCAGGCCCTCCTATCTTCCACTGCCTCCCAGAGTTGGGTCAAATTCATGTTGGTTGCTTCGATGACACTGTCCAACCATCTCATCCTCTGTCGTCCCCTTCTCCTCCTGCCTTGATACTTTCCCAACATCATGGTCTTTTCCAGGGAGTCCTATCTTCTCATGAGATGGCCAAAGTATTGGAGCCTCAGCTTCAGGATCTGTCCTTCTAGTGAGCACTCAGGGTTGATTTCCTTTAGAATGGATAGGTTTGTTTTCCTTGCAGTCCAGACTCTCAAGAGCCTCCTCCACATGTGGTGTTAAACATGTAGGAGCATTTTGAACAAAATTGTATTCCCCCATCCCCAAGAAATAGCACTGACCTAGATAACCGATTCAGAAGTGTGTTTAGGACTGGCTTTACTTGCCAAAGTTAGCAAAATGGCAAAACAGCGGCACAGGCCAGCTGTAGTGCAGGATATTTCTGCAGAAGAGGAGATAAAGGTTATAGCACTCTGTTAACTCTCAGATTAAATTTGGAAGACTGTGTGACCAATGTACTGTATGCTGATGGTCTCTTGTCAGCCAAGGCTTGTTCCTGTTATTTTCAGATGTAGCTGTGGTTCAAAATACAGTATGTTGCACGTGAAGCACATCAGAGTGTGAATTTACCATTGCACCCTCTTCTTCACAAAAAGTAGTTGGGAGACTCTGGACCAGACTGTAGTAGGAAGCAGAGATGAAAGTTTCTGCGTTTTTCCCCCATCTGTGCTTCCCACCCCCCCTGCCCCCACTCAGCCTTGCTCTTTGCTCCTAAAGGGGTCCTTTGCAAGAACTATTTTATGGCAAAGAGCAGTTCTGGGGAGCTTTCAGTAGAAAAACTGTACAAAGAGGAAGAGGTTGACCTCTTGCTTTCACGATGGCCCCTCCCCCCGCTTCTTGTGGCAGAAGAGGACGGGGGGGGGTGGGATTGCAAGAACTGGTTTACCCTAATGCATGGTTTTGCCTGGATATGTGTGCCTTTGCTGAAATGAAGCAGCCCCACTCACCTCAGTGCCACAATATGGGAAAGTCCTTTGTTGCTGGAACCCAGGAGGCGCATTGCTAGCACAGTTGTTGTCCTCTGTGGTAGATGCAGAGGAGGTGCCTATTTCTGTTCTTATATTGCTTGCAGGCCACTTTTGTCTCCTCCTCCTCCTCCTGTTCTCTCTTGGTGTAACCTGAAGTACCCACAGAACTTAGTATCACCAGTATGCTTAAACAATTAACTACTGAGTATAGTAGGAACCCCCTTATTCATGAGATCGCTATCTGCTGATACACATATCCATTGCCTAACAAATGGCAAATAAAAAACCCCAGAACGTATTTATATGTATTTCCAGGGTGTGTTCACCATATTGGCCACAAGAGGGAGCTAGAGACCGCACAAGAGACAGTGTTTGATACTTCCACGTTTTTTGGCATCCACAGGGGGCCGGCCTATAACCAGTTCCCCTGCGGATACTGTGGTCCTACCGTATGCTTCCGTGGTCAATCGTTTAATACAATGTTTTCCCGGGTTATATTGCTGGGCCTTGTTACAAAGTGACTCCCATCTTAGCCCTAAATTCTTCTCTGCCTCCACCTTTGCCTGACCCGGAGTTCCTGAGCAAGCCTCCTCTTCCCATCCTTGTTGGCAGGAGGGGCCGTGCCATGGCAGCCCTGCCGAAAATGGAGGAACCGCTTCTTTTGGGGGTGGGCGGGATTAGAGGAATAAGGTGGTTTGCCAAACCTTTTTTGGAATCCAGGTGACAGTAAACCTGCACGTTCAGGGGTAATAAGCCCAATGTGTTGTCTTGCCTTGACTGTTGCCTCTGCCCCCATTGCTGGGTTTCTGAGAGGGAAAGGATTTGAGATTAGAGACCCAGAACAAAAGCAGCATCAACAATGAATCTGAGGACACCTTGAAGACTAACACCTGGGCATAAGATCTTGTGGACCATACCCGATTTCATCATCAACCAGCCCAATGGATCCTTGAAAAATCATGATAGAAACGGACTTGTATTTTTCCCCCCATAGGATTAAGAGGCCTGCCACTGGACATAGCAGAGAACCCACCCTGCAGATGAACTCTGTGCGGTTACTCTTATTAATATTGCTGCAATGTTGAGGGGAAGAAACTTGGGCTGCCTTTTCTCCAGAAGCTAAGTATGTGCCTTTGCCTTTTCAGGGGCCCTCAAAAGATCTGCTTCTTTGACTGGTTGGTCAATGAGATCAACAGTGGGAAGTATGAGGGACTATATTGGCTTGATGAGAACCACACTATCTTCCGTATCCCTTGGAAGCACAACGCGAGGAAGGACCTTGTGTCCAGTGATTACATGATTTTCAAGGTAGGAGCCTCTTCTACTCAGGGCAGGTTCCTGTATGTCTTTGCTATGCCAAAGATTCACCATATTTGTATCAGGAGCAGACTTGTACTACCTGGAAAGCTTGCCTCATTTATTATGGTCTTCTGGGCTTTCATGGACTGATGTCTCCAGCAGATCCTGTAGGATACTAAGGTGGTCTGGAAATTCTGCAAGTATGCTTGCCAAGTCTCCATTTCTACTCGTAGCACACAGGTACCTGCAGTTGAACAGACTTAGTTGGTATATTACTTAAAACTGAGGGTAGGGACTGCGTGTCCATTTATATGCAGGATGTTGCATATTCTAAAGAATCATGATTGTATCCTGGTAGGGAATACAAGGCCATCATAGTGTGCATCTCCTTGGGAATTACAGGTGCTTTTACTGCTCATAGTCTTGACTCATTCACAGAATTCTAAGGTGACTACAGCTGTCTGAGGTTTTCCCTTAAGGTGTAGATAGCCGTGAGAGTCCATTTAGATCAGCAGCTCATAGTCTTGACTCATTCACAGAATTCTGAGGCGACTACAGATGTCCATTTTTAGCTGTCTCGAGTTTTCCCTTAAGATGTAGATAGCCGTGAGAGTGCATTTAAATCAGCAATGCCAGGATCCTTCCCTTTGGAATCAGCCTTATAGTCAGCACACTATAAGCATGCATAAGATTACACCCTTGGTATTGGAGATGACTGGGTGCCATGTAGTTTGCTCTTCCACGGTGGACATGGTGGATCCAGACTGGGGTGTGAGTGGGGGGGTGACTTTAACCATATGCTACTATCATAGTCCTGCACTGAATGCTGGAGGAGAGGGAGGGCTTTTGTTGAGATTATGGGTAGGGACAGAGTTAAACCTCCCTCGTCTGCATGTCGTGATCCCAGGATGGATTTCCCAGTGCCAGCTATGTATTAAAGATAATCGTGGAAGACAAGACTGTATGGCTACTGTGTGATGGCCAAATGTTGGACTACAATTCCCATTATCCTCCACCAGCATTGCCATTTGTGATGAATGATGGGAGTTGGCAATCTCACAATATCTGGTGGGCCACTTGTCCTCTACTCCTGGTCTGCCACTGATCTTACTTTGTCCTACTGGTGAGTTCATGGGACAGGAGCCCAGAATTCAGCAGAACCCTTTGTTTCACATGTCTCCCTCTCTTATTTCTTGTAACTAAGGAATGGGCTATGGTCAGCAGGAAGTACAATGAAGCTGTACAGGATCCGACCAAGTGGAAAACCAACTTTCGCTGTGCTTTGAACAGTACAAAGAGATTTGAAGAGGTCAAGTCAAATGAACCTGATTTTCATAGGTACAGAATCATCACTACACAGCCCAATAACGCACCGGCTGCCAACCTTCCTGCTGATACAAGTAAGGACAGTAGGGGAATTCACAGTGGTCAGTGCTATCTTTGTAAAGCCTTCTGCATCACAGGGGTTAAGGCATTAAAAAGCCAAATATATGCATGATCTGTGAAATGCTTGTGTGCACTTATAATGACGTGAACTTGCTTTGGTGATGATAATGATGTGCAGTAAATTCCAGTGAAAAACCTTCCAAGGTTTTCTAAGTATGAAGAATTCAGAAATGGTTTGCCATTCCCATCTTCGGGGAGGCAGCCTGGGACCGTGGAACTTTTGCCCGACACCACATAGGCTGGCTCTTCTGGGAGGCACAGTGGGGAATGGAGCTCCCAGCCTCTGGCTCTGCAGCCGTGTAAGCAACTCATTCCAGCCTTCACATAAATTCATTGCAATCATTCAAAAATGAAATGGGCGAGGTTCGGTAACTGCTGTAGTCTATATTTCAGTATGTTCATACAGTACCACCTCGCATGTTCATCAAAGACATGGCAGCAGCAGGATTATGCCTCCCAAACACATGCTCCAGCTATGGCCATTCCCATTCCTCTGCCTAGGGATAGGAAATATTTGGGTTTTGGATCATGATTCCCAGATGTTCCATAGCCAGCATAGCCAATGACCATGTAGTCTGTAGGATTGTGGAAGTTGTAATCCAGTGAAACCCCCAACCATTTCCCATTTCTGTCTGTGCCAGTTGAGTATTTGATGCCAGCATGACAAGGGTCTCAAACACAGACTGACATCTATATTGATGCACCCACAGGAGGGCAGAACATTTTATATCATCTCTGATTAGTCTTCTCTCTAGAATTTTTTCCTGCTTTATCTTTTTCATGTTTCCTCACTCCCTTCCGAAGACAACGGCAGTAACCCTGTGGTTGATATAAACCCCTGCAATGAAGGAGTCCCAGTCCTGCACCAGCCTACACCTCTGGTACAGGTACATACGGGATTGCTCTGTTTGAGAAAAATGTGAAATGATTTGAACTCTCTAAATCTGGTATGTGGTGGTAGTGATGACGACAATGATTACAATTCCAGGAGATGCCAGAGTTGAAGCTAAAGTATTGGAAAAACTGACGAAATACAGAGATCTAGCAATTGAAACATCTCATTTGTGGATGGAGTGCACTTCAGTGTTCCCCTTAGTCATCGGGGCTTTGGGAACAAGATCAAGAAATTTCACACAATACTATAAACAGTTGAAGATCTCAGAAATCCAACCATCAGAGCTACAAAAACGGCAGTGTTAGGAATAGCATACATACTTTGCCTATATTTAACAGATACAGTACTTAAGTTTTTGGTTAAAACTCGTATCTGTTATATAGTACCAGTCAATGTTTTTATAGTTCTGATTGATTGTGCCTGGTGTTTTTTAATAACAATAACAATAATAATAATGCAGGACTCGAAGGGACATTGTGGATTATCCAGCCCAGCCCATGTCATGGAGGTGCAGTAGGAATCAAAATCCCAACTTCTGGCTTTGCAACCAGATGCCTAAACCACTGAGCTATCCAGCAGTTGACACTATCTTGTGTATAACCTGGAAAATCATTGAAGGTGTTGCTGGCATCACTAGAACTCTGATTTGGGGACTTGGCTTGCATTAAATAAATGAAGCTCATAAACATCTGAAAGGCATCTCGGTGCAAAGATTATTGGTAACATCCTGCTGTAATCAGAAGGGCTCCTTTATCTTAGCAGAAAAGTAATGAAGAACAAATGGCTAAAATCCTGTTACTTCATGTAGTAAGTCACAGCTAGAGTAGTCTAGTAAGTTGCACCTAGAGCAGGCCTGCTGATTCATTAGACCTGCTCTAGGTGCAACTTACTAGACTAAGCAACAGAATTTCAGCCAATATCCTGGGTACATTTTTAAAGGACTGGAGAAAAGAGTGACAAGAACAGTAGAAACCAAACAAATAGCTTTATTTGCTAGGTCAGTGCTTAACATCTTATGTCAGATTTCAAGCCTACCCCCATCAGCATAGGTTATGAGGGCTGTTGTCTGAAGCATCTGGTCAACCCAAGTTGGAGAAGCCTGGGTGAAGTTAATCAGCATAGCAACCTTCTGGGTATTTGATTGAAAATCTGCTTCTAATTAATTGAATATCAGGTTTCCCAGTGTGTGATATTTTTATTGATTGGTTGGTTGGTTTTTAGAAACATAGGAGATATATGGCAGAAACCAGTACAGTCATAAATATGACAAAATGGTATATGAGACATCAAAAAGCTGGTTGGGTTCAGGTTAAATGCCATTCCCTGCGTGGAGTTACCCGGCAGCTTAAAGAAACAGGAAATACTGCTGTACTAGTATGCAGCAGTAGAGGGGAAGATGCACCAGCAGCCTGTCTTCGCTTGAGTAGCTTAATAGCCTCCCACCACCACCACCACCACCAGCAGGCCTTACATTGCTAACTAACTACGTAGAAAGCTGGTCATGGATTTTAGAACTTTGGTGTTTGTTTTTCCTGCACTGTCTTGGGCTCTGTAATGCCCAGCCTGACGAAGATTTGTGCAGAGTTGAAAGCCAGCCTCTGTCTGTGAGATGTTTGTTGTCTAATAAAGGTAGCAGCCACGTTTGTCTTCAGATTATATAGACCCATTTACCTTTTCAAAGTCAAGATTTGCAACTGGAGCTGTTGCCTTATGCAACAAAGCAATTTGAATCGGTGCCTGTCTTTGATGTTATACCACTTTGGTTTTAGTACCATTAAGAGAAAAGCCTGTTATTTCATACCCCGGAAGTTTAAAAAAAAAAAGATGGCTGATGGTTGAAAGTGGTGTAGGGTCATACAATAAGGTGTGGTGGTACCATCAAGGTTCTATGGGAAATGTTGAGTGAAGACCCCTCAGAGTCTGGCAATAATTTTTGATTTATCTGCTTCACAGCAAGAGATAAATGATGCCTTTGGAACTCTGACACTAGGAAATCCAGCCCCAGGTAAGTGGATATGATTGCTTAATGCTCAACTGTTTCAAATGGCATCCGGGGCAAATACTGTCATTGGAACAGGGATGTGCACAGACCACGAGGTCTGGTTCATATCCTGATCCAGTGCTTCAGAGCACGCCCTGCTTCAGATCAGATCAGCTTGTCTGCTTTGACTTGGACTGAGATTTGGAAATCTGAAAGACCATACCTTCAACGGATCATCACTGGAAATCAACAATCCTCGGCCTTTTGTTGTCAAAACTGGGGAAACTTTTGTGGACATAGTAGCTGCCAAACTGCAGACAAATAGACACGGGGGCAATGGTGGTGTATAATGTTATTCATATAAAGTTTGATTTACTATAGAAGGCTCGTTTGTTTCTAGCATTTATGTCTTCGGCATGATTTCTCCTTAGAAGAGGGACTGGCTCTGATATGAATGAGCAGCCACCTCAGGTGTCACCATACTTGAGGTTTGCAGCTGGTTAAAAAGCACAGGGCAGATGGGGATAAACAAAGACTACATTTCTGTTTGTGAAACAGCAATGACAAGGCAAAGAAAGAAAGATACTGGTGGCAAAGATGAGGCAGACCATCAGCCACCTGGAAAAAGAGGCCTTTATCTTTGTGTGCTAACGGCACCTGTTCCTGGAGAGGTCCAGTTTGGTCCGAGTGCCACATGCCTCTTCCTTACATCACAGCTGGATTCCTGTAGCACCCTGTATGTGGGGTTGCCTATGGTAAATGTCAGGAAACCTCAGCCAAGCCTAAAATAAAGCAGCCAGGCTGCTCACTGGGGCTGGACACAGGGATTCCAAACACACCCCTGCTACAGCAGTAGCACTAACTGCTGAAACATTTCCGGGCTGAATTCAAAGTGATCATTCTTCTAACCTCTAAAGAGCTTGGGCCCAAGCTATTTCAAGGACGACACATCCATTTATGAGCCTGCTTGAGTATTAAGGTCATCGGGAGGCTTTCCTCTCACTCCCACCATCTTCACAGGTGCCTTTGGTGAGGACTCAGGAGAGGGCCTTCTCTGTGGCTGCTCCCAGACTCTGCATCTCCTTCCCACAGAAGGCTAGGCTGGCCCCACCTTTCCATGTATTTCAGCAGGCAGGCAAAGACCTTTCTCTTCAGGCAAACCTGCCCTGAGTGAATGGCTGTCAAGTGGGGTTTTTTAAAATAGATTGTTGTACCTTACCGCACTGAGTATATTTTGGTGTTGCTTATGTTTTCTGGTATTGTATTCATTGATTTTTTTTTGTATTGTACAAACGTCAATACTGTCCTTTAATTGTTTATGTTTTTTGGTATTGTATTCATTGATTTTTTTTTTTGTATTGTACAAGCGTCAATACTGTCCTTTAATTGTTGCCTTGGATCATTTTTAAGGAGAAAGGTGGGTTAAAAATATTTTAAATAAATTCAAATAAATATTTTATCAAGCTAGTTTTGGTTATTAATTGGTAAATTAAGGCATGCATTGTTATGTGCCTTCAAGTTGGAACTGACATAGTGACCCTAATAGGGTTTTCAAGGTAAATGAGATATTTAAGGAGTGGTTTTACCAATTTCACACTCCCAGTGAGCTTCCATGGCTGAGCAGGGATTTGAACCTAGGGCTCCTAAATCCTAGTCCTTGACTCTATCCACTACACCACACTGAGCATCCCAAGACTTGCATTATCCCTTTGCATTCCTTTTCTATGTAAATGCACTACTGATCTTACATGTATATCACTAGCCTTCACATTTTAGCATTTATTGGTACAGGAAAAAATGACAAATGCAATTTCAGCTTGGCATGGACTGCAAATGAGACATCTGCTAAGAACAACTTGCTGAGTTTCATATAGGGGTACTTTCCATTTTGGTATAGAAAGGTGTCCTAGTTCCTTAGTTCAGGTCTCCGAGAGAGAGCGTTCACCTCTAAGTATGAAAGCTGGTGGCCCCAAGAATTAGCAGCGTAAAAATATTGTTAATAATAGGATCTCATGTACTTGTGTTTCTGCTATAGTGCCAAATGGGAATACACCTGGAAACTTCAACCACGATACTCTCCAGTGGGTTATGCACCAAGCCCAACTCAATCTGGGTGGAATTCAGCCAGTCTCATGGAATCCTGCTCTGGGCAATCATCCTGTCGGTAGGTCAAGGCCTGTAGTAGGCATCCTTCAGTCTCAAGAGACTATGGTAATGTGCTGTGAATAGAAGTGGAGTGTCCTCTCCAGGGCACGAAGCCTGGGTAAAGTAATATGGAGGATAGGTTGTTACCCAAGCAGCAAATCCCCCCTCTCCACATCACTGAAATAGTTCAATGGAAAGACAAGAGCCAATGCAACTGGTTCCAGCGACATCGCAGGAGTTGCCAGAGCATGACTGTACACAGTCACGAACTGCTTCCGGGACTCCGGCTCCGGATTTTACCTCGAGGTTAACTCCTGTAGCCTTTTCCATCGATAGATATAGCCACAAGGCAGTGGAGGTTTGAAGTTGGAGTTTTTCTTCTCCTAGATGGGCTGCTTTCCAAAGCTAATGAGCCCCATCTACCCGGGTGGATGACATTTTGTGCAAATTCTTCAGTGTTTGCCTTAAAAGCCTATTTTGTAAACAGCAGCCAATGGGCTTTAAATTGCATTCATAAAGTCCTTTTGTCCCACGGTTACCTGAACAATTGGGGTGTAAAGAATACTCACTAAATTCTTTGTTTAACATCAGTGTAGAGTGTGTCAACTCAGCAACTCATACCAAAGAGAAATTTTCAAGCCCCAGGAGATTCCACATTTCCAGGCCAGATTATGAGATTCTTTAGGGACAAGGCCACCATGATTTCTGCAAACTGTCTTTGCATAAAACTAGTCGTCTTTCCCTTGGAGAAGTGTCAAGTGTGCTGTGCAGAATGGCTGATTGATAAGATTCAAATAAACATTTGACACCACTTCTTAAATGTCCATGCAGTAAAGCAACAAGCACTGTCATTCTGTGCAACCTGTTACTGTTACTATATTATTACAGTTTCAGTTATTTTATGAAAAGAATTGTTCTCAGTCTCTTCTATGGTAAAAAGCACATGAAATATATCATTTTTTCATGGGGTAAGGAGAGTAATTTTGTGATTCTTTGTCCTGCCAGAGGTTTACCTCTCCAGTGCACAAAATACAGACTGTGTGAAAGTACGCGGGTGGGGGTGGGTGGGGGGTGGACAGAGTTTTATAGCCAGGGGTATCATCTACAGCAGTGGTCCCCAACCTTTTCCCAACCGCAGACCGGTTTGAGGGGACGTGGCACACTCACAGGGGTGTGGCATGCCTGCAGGGGGGGCAGAGTGCACTTGTGTGCACTCACGGGAGGGCCTGCTTGTGTGCATGCGCATGGTGCACTTGCAGGGGTGCAATGCAGATACGCACAGTGGTGCTCCTGCACATGCACGTGGAGGTGCTTGCAGGGGGCACTCACAGGGCAGACAGGAGATCTGTGCCTGCGACCTGGACCGCTGTTGGGTCGCGGACTGAGAGTTGGGGACCCTTGATCCACAGCATCTCAGCTCCTTAGTTTTATGCACTATTAGTCTAGGATGTTCTCAGCTATCATTTTCTGCTAGTAATTTTGGTTTCATTTTCTCTCTAATACTGCAGAGGAAACTCTGTATGCACAAAATGATGCCTATGCAGTCCCTGAAATGGACCAGCCATTTAGGAATGAAAAAGTGAATGAACCAGTAGTGGCGAATAACTGTTATGAAGAGCCAGTGAAGTGGTTGGTTCAAAATGTGGTGAATTCTCAGTCATTTGCCACAGTTCCATTGCAGCAGGCCCAACAAACTAATCCTGCCACAAATCAGTACAACCCTGTGGGTAAGTAATGTACTCCATGAATTAATTAATTATTTATATGCTGCTTTCTCTCCATAAAGAGACCCAAGGGGGCTCACAACAGATAAAACAACAGGTTTAAAAACACTATATAAATATCATATTTAAAAAACAAACATATATTAAGATTTAAAAATCAAGCTTAAAAATGTGTTTTTTTAAATCTTTAAGTTAAAAAAACCAGCATTCCTCAGATAATTAATGGTTTAAACCCTGCCTGAAGAGGAAAGAGGCCAATCTTGCTTGTCAGGGCAGTGCGTTCCAAAACCTGGGAGCAGCCACTGAGATGGCCGTCTCTTGTCTCATCACCAGACAAGCTTGGGGCGGTAGTAGAAGCAAGAGAAAGGACTCATCAGAAGATCTTAAGAGCCAAGAAGACTCGTGTGGGGTAATACAATTCTATATGGACGTATAGGGCTTTATAGGCAATAATGAGCACTTTGAATTGAGCCCAGAAACAGACTGGAAGACAGTGAAGCTGTTGTAATAAGCAAGATACATACTCTATAATCGGTGCCAGTCAGCAAACTGACTGTAGCATTTTGAACCAGCTGAAGTTTTCAAACACTCTTCAAAGGCAGCTCCATGTAGAGCACATTGCAGTAGTCCAAACAAGATGTAACTCCTGTGTCACTGTAGCCAGATCCGACATCTCAAGGAACAGGTGCTGCTGGCCCACCAGCTCTAACTGTGCAAGTGCACTCCTGATCACTGTTGAAGCCTTTGCATCCAAGCTTAGTGTCAAACCCAGGAGCACACCCAAGCTGATGACCTGATTTTTCAGAGGGAGTGTAACCCCATCTGATACAGGCTGAATCCCTGTCCCCTGGTTTGTCTTGTGACTGTCCAGAAACACTTCTGTCTTGTCTGTGTTAAGTTTCAGTTTGCTGACCCTCATCCACTCCATCATTGACAACTGATCCAGGCCTAAGCATAGAACAGCTTCCTTGGAATCAGATGGGAAGGAGAGATAGAGTTGGGTGTTATCAGCATACTAATGGCACTGAACCTCAAAAGCACAACAAACTCTCAGCAGTTTCGTGTAGATGTTGAGTAACGTGAGGGAGAGGACTGAGCTCTGAGGAACATCACAGATTAATGCAAAGGGTGTCAAATGGGACTCTCCCGACACCACTGTCTTGAGTTCATCCATCCAGGAAGGATTGGAAGCAATGTAAGACAGTAGCTTCAAGATTAGAGATGGGGGTATTTGTAGACGAATATAAATATCCCCCTGCAGGTGGAAATAACGAGGGGCCGGCCCCACGACAAGCCTCTCTGCCGGGTCAGAGAGTGGCTAATCCACTGCAGACAATGGTGCGATAGGAAGACTCTGCTGCACCTGCAGCAGCGGCCAAAGAGTGAGTGGACATTCATTCCCTCGTTATTTCCACCTGCAGGGGGGATATTTGTATTTGTCTACGAATACCCCCATCTCTAGTCAAGATCCATCCCAGAAAAATACTTCAAAAGAATACCATCGTTGAAGGTACTGAAAGCCATTTAGAGGTCCAGCGGAACCGACAGGGATACACTGCCCCTGTCCAGTTCCCGGCATTTACTCCAAATGGAGACTAATCCTTGAATTTACTCCAAATGGAGACTAATCCCAAAAGGGAACATATATTTCATTCTGCTATCTTAGGGTTTGACTAACTATAAGAACATTAAAGAGAGATTCTTCACAGATATATTAAAGAGAGACTTCCTAATTTATTTATTTATTTTAACGCCACCTTTCTCCTCAAAAGGACCCAAGGTCCTTTAATTCCTTGATTCTGTGTGTTTCTGTGTGATTCTTTATAACCAGTGTATAAATGATGGCTTTAATTAAGATAAATGAACCTAACAGTCAAAGGAGATATCGGATGCAACTATAGTCTTACTTGCAAGATGATGATGATGGTGAAAAAGACGTTAATGGGACTATAGTTAATCTAGAATTTGTTTTACTAACAAACAAAATGCTAGGCAGCCAATTTATGTCAAGGGTTGGAACAGTTTTGTTTTTTTGTGTTTTTTGTTTTTTGTTTTTTTTGGAGACTAAAACTCCATGAATCTCCCAGCCAGCATGTTGGGGCCACACTGCCTTGGGGAATTTGGGGGGCTGCAGATTTTTCTAACCTCTAATTAAGCTAAAGACCCTGCTTTAATTGGACAGCAAGCAGAAGTGTTTTTTAATGTCGTGTTTGTTGACACTGAGAGGAGCATCATACCCAGTCCTGCAGCAATGATTTTTTTAAGGCAGCATAGTCCACAGGAGGAACATGTCATCCCTTGCCAGCGGGGCTGAGCAGTGAATAAAACTGGCCAATAGACACTCCAAAATATTCAAAATATTCCTCCTTTGTACTAGGAGAAGCCCTGCACAATAACAACTGCTTCATTGAAAATGTTTTCATGGATGAAGAACCTGAAGGAGAGGAAGTGATCATGAACAGTGACACGAGGAATGGCTGTCACATGGGGGCAGGCCAGCAACCCATGATGGAAGAGGGCATCTGTGCACTGCCAGCTTTGACCTCCACAGAACCACCTGCCAACACCGCTCCACTGCAGAACAACATAGGTCAGTGAAATCATCCTCTGTGTTCCTGATGGCAACAGGTGCAGCTCTCTTGTCACTGAAGCTGAAAAGTAGAAAATAGAGATGGATGTATTCGTATACAAATACCCCCACACAAGTGGCCATAATGAGGGTCCATCCCCCTGGAGCTGGGTGGTCCACTCACGATTTTGCCGTTGCCATGAGCTCTGGACTCCCTTCCTGTTGCTATGGAGCTCGTGATCTGCGAGCCACTCTTCGACCTGGCAGGAAGACTCGTCCTCCCGCCTCCTGCCAGGAGTGGCTCGCGGATCAAGAGCTCTGGAGCGATAGGAAGGATCCACGGAGCTCATGGCAGTGGCGAAATTGTGAATGGACCATCTGGCCCCAGGAGGCTGGACCCTCGTTATGTCCACCTGTGGGAGGGTATTCATATACAAATACCCCCCTCTCTAGTAGAAATGTTAATGCTTTTTTAACTGAACAAGGGCGAGGAGGGAGTGGCAGAATTCACATGATCTGCCTCCATTCTTATAAATTCAGAGTTAGAATGTGGTTTTGTAAAACCTTTCGGCTTGACTTCACAGCTTCTGTGAGAGGTGTGTGTGTGCGTTTGTGTGTGTGTGTTTAGGAACTATATTCACTCTCCTACAGTCCTTGGAGGAAAGACAGTGTGAAAACATTCATCTTACAAATAAAAGTGTGAATTAAAAGGGATACAGGTCGAAGTATCTAGTGCGTTAAGGTATGGGGAAGATGTTTCTCTGTCGGCAAAGTGCTGCGGAATAAGAGCCAGCTGTCCTGAGTCACAGTTGTTGTGGAAACTGTTTCAATATGATTATTGACATCACTGGTTGTGCATTTGTGTGAGTAGTCTCTAGGCATCCTTTTAGAAAGCTAGCCGTTTAAATTATTTTGTAGTTTAAAAGAGGGACACCTCCCTTTCTTTTTTTCTTTTTCCCAAACTGTCTGAGGAAAGGAAGTCAAGGCCTTGAGCTTGCTTGCTGTTAATGAGAAGGCCTTTTGCAGGTTACCAACCTATAGGTTCACGTATTAGTTGTAACTGACTTAGTGGCTGAAAACAACAATAACAACAAGCTGTCTGGGGCTCCTTTATTTTGGACAGTCCCATTCTGGCCCTGATAATCCCTTGTCCTCGTTTCCTGTGGGCCAATCTCCATTCACTGGCACCAGAGTGGTGCCAGGTACTGTTTCAGTGTGCTTTGTGAAGAATCCGTACCATGAGTTTCTGCCAAATCTCTACCACCTGAACTGAATGAGCATCAGCTTTTCTGTTGTGCAACAGCTGGAAGGGTCCTCTCTTAAAAGATCAGCTTGAACACTTATTGCAAAGCATGAGCAGTCTTTCTTTTCTTTTTCTTTTCTTTTTCTTTTTTTGGAAGAAGCCACCTATTTTGGGGTAAAAAAAAAATCAACAGCTTTTCACCCTCAGGTTCTGCGGGAAAGAGACAGCCTCTAGTCAGTCTTAAATATTCTAGGAAATCTTTTTCTCCCAGTTTTTTTTAAGTACAGTGGACCATCGACTTACAGACGGCTCGACTTACAGACTTTTCAAGTTACAGAGTTCTCTGGCCGCAAAATTTAGGTTTGACTTGCAGCCGGAGAATCGACCTACAGACCAGAAAACAACCAAAATGGAACAAAAATGGAACAAAAATGGCCGGTTACAGGATTCATTGGTTTTCAATGCACTGTAGGTCAATGGAGACTCGACCTACAGACTTTTCGACCTGCAGCCACCATACCAATACAGATTAATTCCGTAAGTAGAGGGTCCACTGTACATATATCTAAATTGGGATGAGGAACCTGTCCAGTATGCTGAACTACAGTTCTCACCAGCCTCAACCAACATGGCCCACGGTGGAGGGAAGGGGTTAGAGTCCAACATCAACAGGACTCCTCACCCTCTCATCTAAATGGGGTTTTTCCTTTAAAGCAACAATCTACATGCTTTTGCACTGAAGTTAAAACATACGTTATGTTTTAAACATTTGAGTGCTCTTCACAGTTTTGATCCCCTGCTACAGCAGTTGCACTGACTACTGATCTGTTTCCAGGCACAATTCAAGGTGCTGGTTTTGACCTAAAAAGTCCTAAATTGCTTGAGTCCAAACTGTTTCAAAGACCGCATCTCCCTTTATGGGTCTGCCTGGATGTTGAGATCATCAGGAGAAGTCTTTCTCTCAGTCCCACCTCCTTCACAGGTGTACTTAGTGAGGACATGGGAGAGGGCCTTCTCTGTTATTGCTCCGAGACTTTGGAACTCTCTCCCACAGGAGGCCAGACTTGCACCATCTTTGCTGTCCTTCTACAAGTAGACAAAGGTCTTTCTCTTCAGACAGGCTTGTCCTTAGTGACTGACTGTCTAGGATTCAATAAATGGGATGGCTCATATTTTGTGGCTGCTAAATCTGTTTCTCTAATTCTGTTACCTAACTTTTTTAATATAACATTATTCTTCTTTAATATTTGAATAATTTATTACTTTTAGCTTTTTAATATTGTGTTTTAACTATTTAAGCCATTTTGGGTCATTTGCAAGGAGAAAGGTAGGGTAAAAATAGTTTGAATGAATGAATGAATGAACGAACAAACGAACGAATGAATGAATGAATGAATGAAACTAATCCCAAACACAAATCTTGGCTTCTTGGTTGGAATATATAGGCCCTGTCTTCTTTCTGCTGTCTCCCAGCTGATATTCCTTTTGTAATTAATTTAATTACATACGTAAAGGAAATAGAGACATCCTGATATAACAATAATTACATAAATAATGTAAATGCTAATTATAGCATTAATGCTGGAGCTGTTTTCGCCCCAAACCTTTTTGACTTCTATTTACCACGTCCCCTTTCTTTTCAGATTTCCACTATAATTGTCCTAAGTCTCCACTCTACTGCATCTCCTTCCATCCTCTGGCAATCAGTGACTCTCACCTCCCTGCTCCTGCCTGAGGTTTAGCACAAACCATTTTAGACATGGTGATGGTAAACTGCTCCCCACTCACTTAAGCTGCATCTTGTCTTTTGCATCAGCTTTCCCTCTTCGTCTGGATGTCTCCATCTACTACCGAGGCAGACTGTTGTGTGAATTGCAAGTGGAAGAAAGCAGCTGTGTGTTCACCTACAATCACCACTATGCCCACGTTCCATGTAATGCACAGATTATAGTGTTCCCAGGACCGGAGGGGCTACCTGATGAGAAGCAAGCTTGCCATACCTTGACAGTGTTGCAGGAAACAGGTCTGCTGCTGTATCAAAAGAATGAGAAGCTCTGTGCCAAGCGCCTTGGTAAAAGTAAAGTCTTCTGGGCCTTTTCCAAGCAACTCAATAACATGGCTGAACCCAGAATGTTACCGCGGGACGAAGACATAGAGATCTTCAACTATGAGAAGTTCCTTCAAGGTGATTCCCAAGCAGGGTGGTGTGTCTTCCGTGGCAGGGTTGGGAGGACTTAAGCCCTGGGGCTGAATATAGCCATTTAGGGTTTCGCCAAAGACCATGCGCCTTTCCTGTAGTATTATCATGGGGTTTCCCATAATATTAGCATGGGGTGGTTTTGCAGCTTTTGCGTGGGGTTTTCCCCTTTAAAAAAGGGACGTGGTGGCGCTGTGGGCTAAACCGCAGAAGGCTCTGTGCTGCAGGGTCAGAAGACCAAGCAGTTGTAAGATCGAATCCAAGCAATGGAGTGAGCTCCCATCACTGTGTCCCAGCTCCTCGCCAACCTAGCAGTTCGGAAGCATGCAAATGCGAGTAGATAAATAGGTACCACCTCGGTGGGAAGTTAAAACGGCGTTCCCTAGTCACGCTGGCCATGTGACAACGGAAACTGTCTTCGGACAAGCGCTGGCTCTGTGGGTTGAAAAATGGGATGAGCACCGCCCCCTAGAGTTGGACACGACTGGACTAAAAATGTCAAGGGGAACCTTTACCTTCCCCTTTAAAAAATACTTGAAGACCATACCTGAGACTTTCTTACTGGTATTGAGAGCTTCATGTGAAAATATATTGATATAACTGCTTCGTTCTTTTTAAAATGGTGATGTGAAATTTTTTTGTTGGGTTTCCCTTCTTGTTTTTCCTTCTGCAATGTGAATTGCAGTGCCTCTGCCTGGATGAATGGCTCAACTTACTTCTCTTTCTCCTTAAACAATTGAGTAGAAATGTGCCTAAACACCTGTTGACTAGAAAACCTGTGAATCTTCACATGTAATATGAAGAATGTGACAGGCAATTGTTGGCTTTTGAGTGACATATTGGGGGGGGGGAACTCTTCAGATTTGCTCTACCCTTTTTACTCACTTTTCTTGTTATGAATGTACACAAACAATGGTCCAAATCTTTCTTGCTGTGTTTTATGCTAGCAGAAAAAAAATGGCAAAACTTTTAGAGGCACATTGCCTGAAGTTAAGAGATTACTCTTGGCATTATTTGTGACTTCCCCTTCACGGATTGCTGCCTGGTCATGGCAAAGGGGTTTGAGTAATTCAGAGAAGCTATGGGTATGCCGTGCAGGGACACCCAAGACAGACAGGTCACAGTGGAGAGTTCTGTCTAAACGTGATCCACCTGGAGGAGGAACTGGCAAGCCACTCCAGTATCTTTGCCAAGAAAACTCCATGGACAGAAACAAAAGACTAAAAGATATGATGCTGGAAGATGACCCCCTCAGGTCAGAAGGCATCCAACATGCTACTGAGGAAGAGCGGAGGACAAGTACAAGTAGCTCCAGAGCTAATGAAGTGGTTGAGCCAAAGCCAAAAGGATGCTCAGCTGCGGATGTGCCCGGAAGTGAAAGGAAAGTCCGATGCTGCAAAGAAAAATACTGCATAGGAACCTGGAATGTAAGGTTTAGGAAACTTGGTAAGCTGGATGTGGTCAAACAGCAGATGGCAAGCATAAACATTGACATCCTGGGCATCAGTGAACTAAAATGGATGGGAATGGGCGAATTCAGTTCAGACGATTATCATATCTACTATTGTGGGCAAAAATCCTGTAGACAAAATGGGGTAGCCCTCACAGTCAACAAAAGAGTGGCAAAAGCTGTACGGGGATACACTCTCAAAAATGATAGAATGATTTCAATACAAATCCAAGACAGACCAACATCACAATAATCCAAATTTATACACCAATTACCAATGCTGAAGAGGCTGAAATTGACCAATTCTATGAAGACTTACAAAGAAAGATGTTCTTGTCATTATAGCCAACTGGAATGCTAAAGTAGGGAGCCAAGAAATAAAAGGAACAACAGTTATGTTTAGCCTTGGAGTTCAGAACGAAGCAGGGCAAAGGCTAATAGAGTTTTGGCAAGAGAACAAGCTGGTCATCACAAACAATCTTTTCCAACAACACAAGAGGCAACTCTACACATTGACATCACCAGATGGCCAATAACGAAATCAGATTGATTATGTTCTCTACAGGCAAAGATGGAGAAGCTCTATACAGTCAGAAAAAACAAAACCTGGAACTGATTGTGGCTCATCAGCTTCTTATAGCAAAATTCAAGCTTAAACTGAAGAGAGTAGGAAAAAGCACTGGGCTAGTCAGGTATAATCTAAACCAAATTCCTTATGCATATACAGTGGAAGTGAAGAACAGATTTAAGGAACTCGATTTGGTGGACAGAGTGCCTGAAGAACTATGGATGGAGGCTCGTAACATTGTACAGGAGGCAGCAACAAAAACCATCCCAAAGAAAAGGAAATGCAAGAAAGCAAAAAAATTGGACCATGGCCACTTCCCATCACCTCCTGGCAAATAAAAGGAGAAGATATGGAGGCAGTGACAGATTTTACTTTCTAGGGCTCCATGATCACTGCAGATGGTGACAGCAGCCATGAAATTAAAAGACACCTGCTACTTGGGAAGAAAGCGATGACAAACCTAGACAACATCTTAAAAAGCAGAGACATCATCTTGCCGACAAAGGTCTGCATAGTCAAAGCTATGGTTTTTCCAGTAGCGATGTATGGAAGTTAGAGCTGGACCCTAAAGAATGCTGACCATCGAAGAAATAATGCTTTTGAATTGTGGTGCTGGAGGAGACTAGAGAGTCTACAAAGATAACAGACCTATCCATTCTGAAGGAAATCAACCCTGAGTGCTCACTGAAAGGACAGCTCCTGAAGCTGAGGCTCCAAGACTTTGGCCGTCTCATGAGAAGAGAAGACTCCCTGGAAAAGTCCCTGATGTTGGGAAAGTGTGAGTGCAAGAGGAGAAGGGGAAACAGAGGACAAGATAGTTGGACAGTGTCATTGAAGCAACCAACATGAATTTGACCCAACTCCAGGAGGCAGTGGAGGACAGGAGGGCCTGGCGTGCTCTGGTCCATGGGGTCACGAAGAGTCAGGCAGGACTTAGCAACTAAATAACAAACAACAACAATTATGTGTGGCTGACTCAGCTGTGTGACTCGGCATGCAACTGATAATGTTAGCAGTGATTTTTTAAATTTGAGACAATTATGCTGTTTGTGCAGTTACACAAGAAGCTTTGGTCTAATTGCTTACAAAATATGTCCTGAATCTTTCTAACAGAACTGAAGAAATTCATGAGTGGCCAAATACGTTCATCTCCTGACTATACCATCTACCTGTGCTTCGGACAACGTCTTTCTGCCAGCAAACCTAAGGACTCCAAATTAATCTTGGTGAAGGTGAGGAAAGCAGACCCCTTTAAGCTATCATACAGTAGATTCTTTGAGAACAGAAGTATTTGTGCAAAATATATATCCTTAAGTCTATTCGCCGAGTATCTCCAGATTTCTAGGAAGAAAGGGTTTAATCTTTCTTTTTGATATCAGTTGGAACATGGTTCTAAGCCCAGGTTCTCAGAGTGCCCAGTAGATGAAAAAGGTGGTGTTTGATTGATTTCTCTAGTCTGGAGACGGACACTGTTTTTTTGAAGAGTAGATGTGACATCATGCCCAGTGGTGGGATTTGTAGCATATAGTGTGTTTGGACCAGGATGCTTGGAGACCTGGGATTGAATCCCCACTAGGCCATGGAAACTCAAGGGGTTGGGGTTGAAGTGGTTAAGAAACACTCCTTAAATATATATCTTACCTCAAAAGCCTTACTGAGATCACCGTAAGTCAGTTCTGACTTGATGGCACATAACACAAGAGGTGGCTAGCTTTTCTTCTGTTCTGCAATTGCCTTTGTTTTAGTTATGTGCCATCAAGTTGCATCCAACTTGATCCTAATAGGGTTTTCAAAGTATGATATTTAAGGTTTTACCATTGGCACCCAAGCTCACCCCTAGTGAATCTCCTTGGCCAAGGCAAGACTGGAACTTAATGCATCATTCTGTCTACGATTCCACACTGGCTCTCTTGCTTATTTAGGCATCTTTTTTTTAAATTCGGTGCAAAGATTGTTTACCAGAGAAGGCAGTGGGACAAGCAGAGGCACGAGTGAGAGAAGACACCAGGTTGAATTTTCTTAAACAGCATTTGCCAGTCTATTTCCATTCCTTTCTCTTTGCTTTGGTGTCTGTGGGAAGGTGGGGCTGGGGTGAAAGCAACTGCACAGAATTGTCTCCCTGTGCAAGTAGATTTATTTATTTATTTATCCATTCGACTTGTATGCCGCTCGCAATCTGCAAGAGTCTCCAGCTTTTAACCAGCTTTTAACCAGCTTTTTTTAATTTTGCAGTTAGTGTCAAGGGTTTGCAAATGTTGGCATGAACAATCGCAGAGGGAAGGAGCCTCCTCCTTAAACACTGAGAACGACAGCTTACAAATCTCCAACAGCCTATATGATATGATAGAACAGCTCTCTACCAGCTATCTACCAAGGGAGGTACCCTGAAGGTTCTCTTCCTATCCTAGGATTAAGTGTCTTGTGTATGTGTTGGTGATGGGGGGGGCGCGCTTTCTCCATTTAATTTACACATGACAATTTATGCATGAAATTTATTTTTTTAAAAACCACCTCTGTTCTCAATCTCTGAACTCTGTTAAATAGCTTATGATGATGGAACTGTTGTGCCACAATGATGCAGGTGGAAAATAGCTCCCCCAGGTCAGGTTCTTCCCAGTAGACTGTGAGAACGCTTGCCCTACTCCATGATAGCTGCAGGCAGCCAGCAGTGAGAAAACCTTTAATGCATCATAGAGTAAGACCAGAAAAGACCTACCCAGAAAAATTTAGCTCCTAGCATCCCTGACTAGCAGCATCATGGGGTCAAGAATAGAGATGGGAAAAGTTGACGAAGGACAAAGCTCTCCCCAATGAACGGACAAAGCATGAATGTATTCATCGATTCATGGAGGGCTTAGATAGCCAGAGGCTGCCTTAAAATAACCCTATACCCCCACTGCCCTGCCCCTTGCTGAGCCCCGCTGTCCCCCACTATAATTGCTGCCCCCCATAATCACACCACTGCGCTGCCACCACCCAACCATAATCGCCGCCACTATGGCCTGTAGAAAGGGCACTGGTTGCCCTTCGCAAAGATGGTGGCTGCTGCTTCATTTAGGGTAGGGAAGCGGCAGTCTCCATCTTTGCAAAGGACAGCCTGGATTTCCTTAATCGAGGCTGCCCTTTGGAAAGATGGCAGCTGCAGCTTCCCTACCCTAAATGAAGCTGCCTCCGTCATCTTTGCAAAGGCCACCCAATGTCCCTTACTACAGGCCATAGCTGCAGAGGACACCACAGTGGGTGGCAATGGAGGACGGCAGCGCCGAATGGTGGCAGCGGCTAAGGTAGGGAGAGGAAGGGGATGGGGTATAGGCTGTGGGAATGGGTGGCTGCCTATCAGCCCGCCAATCTGCAGCCCCGTAGGCAGAGTGGGAAAGCCATAGGAAGAGAGGGAAGACTAGCCTTCCCTCTCTTCCTATGGGGGAACGAATAAAAATGGAGAAATATTTTTCCTTTGTATTCAGCGGGGTCTCGAACTGACAAATATGAAGGAATGAATATTTAACGAATCAGTGATTTCTTACAAATATTGCGATCCTTTTTTTATTCATCCCCATGTCTAGTCAGGAACATGGGACTTGTGAAGGACAGGAACGTTGTGGAAAGATGGACTGAGGGTTTCTGGATTCTGTGAAGGAGCTTCCAGAACAGGGCTTCACTCCTAACTTCTTTGTCCTTTCACAGGATCCTTATAACATACGTTATATGTAATCCTACCTGGAGCTCAGTTAAGGAGCCTCCTCAACTGAGAGTGTGGTTACATATTGAAAAGGATGTACAGTGGTGCCTCGCTAGATGATGATAATCTGTTCCACTGAAATCGCTGTCTAGTGAAATCATTGTCTAGCGAAAAGCAAATCATCGTCTAGCGAAAATCGGTTTGCGAAGCAGGGACCAAACATTGTCCAGCAAAATTCCCCCATAGGAATCACTGTTTTGCGAATCGCTATAGCGATCGCAAAAAGTCAATGTCTAGCGAAAAAACTGTCATGCAGGGTAACTGTCTGGTGAGGCACCACTGTATTTGAATTGGATTTAGAATATTTTCAAACTATTTTTAAAAGGTGACTACACAACATACATAGAAGTGCAGATTCTTTTGACAAGGAAGGTGAGGTGTTTTATTCTTCTGCCAGAAGGTTGTTTATTTTAACTCAAATGTCAAATCAATGTATTTTGAATCGTATTGGCATGCATGAATGCCTCTGTCAGTGTAAATTGTGTCTGTGGGGTTTGCCATTCTCTGGTGTTCCTTCGTCAACTTTCAGGGAACAGTCTGTTTTCATTTTTTCCCTATCTGTTACTCTGTTCTAGGATTATTTCAGATTGCAAGAAATAAAAATAATAAAAATACCTCAGCAGCAGCAGCTGGTGGCTGTGAGAGGCCTCCAGTGTGAGAGTGGGTGGGCATAGGACAAGGCCTCAAAAGCTGGTTGAGGGGGCTACACACACTTTTGGAATAATTACATGAATTATTCCAAAAGCGTGTGTAGCCCCCTCAACCAGTATGCAACATTGCTTAAAATGGATTAAAAGTTTTCCTAAGAGGGCACACACACCAACACAAAAGCCGCATGACTTTAAACCATTCAAGAGCCCCAATCCATCACCATATTTATTTTATTAGTGTAACTGTGCCCTTGGTCTAGTTAGTCTGTCTTTTCAGGGGCTTCTGGAACTGATCATGGTAATTCTATGTGCTCCAGTTTAACAAAGAAAATGGAAAATTACACTCTGCAGTCCAAATTCTATGCTTTGTTGAACCAACGCAGATTGACCACATTTGCACAACTGGTTCAGGTATTGGTTGTGGGAAGCTTCTGCCCAAGGCTGTTAGTTGTTATCTGTTACAGTGACATGCAAACAGATGTAGGTGATCACGGAACAAAAGGAAGGCTAATGATGTGGGTGATCACAGACAATTAGGGAAGCAATTAACCTTAGAGAAAGTACAAAGAATTCGACCACAGATGTCTGAGGCAGTGGAGCATAAAAGCAACGCCTTGAGAACTCTTCTTATTAACTTAGCACTTACACAGAATGTTGTGAGAATTCAGATAGTGTACTGGTTATCTAATCACCACTAGGATTGGCCGGAGAAAGTCTTTGAACCTATGGCCTAACTCTAAGCAGAAAGGCAGAATGAGAGGTCACCCTGCCCCTTGGGAGTTGCTGCTTCTCTGCCAGGAGTGTTTGCACATCACTGTAACAGATAACAACTAATGGCCTTGGGCAGAAGCTTCCCACAATTGGTAATGGTGGCTGATGCAGAGTTATTGCAGACTTTAAGTCAGCCACCATTCTTGGGAAGTGCTCTTCCCCAGGTGGGACATTGTTGTATCAGACTTCCCATGATCTCTGGCCCATTGGCTGTGCTGACTGGGGCTGATGGCATCCAGAGGACCGTCACCTGTTGTATCCTTGGGTTGCATGTTCATAGCAAAGAATAAAAGCTGACAACTATAGATGGGCACAAATCAGAAAACCAGTGACTTGCGGTGGTTTGTGGCTAGCCTTGAACCACAAACTATCACACCACCACCCGAAAAATGAACTGGTTCAAGGTTAGTTTTTCAAGTTCATGCCGGGGGGGGGGAAACTACCCACTTGCCAAGCCCTCTGCCCCTGCCACTTCCTATCTTGTCTTGAAGAGGAGGGGTGGACGTCCCTTTTTGCCAAAGCAAAACGAAGCACAGAGGGGGGAAAGGTTCAGCGCTTCATTCTGGCAAAATGGGATCCCTGAACTGAACCATGAACCAGTCTAGTTCGTNCCCCCCCCCCCCTTGGTCTGTGGCTCAGTTCGTGCCCCTCTGTACTGACAACCAATGTTCTTAGTTGAATTCTGTTCCCAGCACCTCACCCTGCAGATTTTCTCTTGCCAGCGTACTTGTGATGTGCTGGTTAAGAGGCTCTGGAAATGAAGGCATATGGGTTTTGTACGCTGACGTTTCCTGTCAAATTTAAAACAGTTAATTATTTCTCTTGTCTGCCTTAAGCATCAAACTCTTTATGTCCTGAGAGGTGGCACAGAGTGCACACACATGCGCTTTCCATAGGAAAAAATAGCTCCACTCATAGAGAAGAGCTCTGCCTGGTTTTCAGGCATTTCCTCTTTTCTCCCATAGCTCATCCCGTAAAGCAAGGCCCATGATATTCTCTGTGGCAAAAATCTGCTGACAGTTTAATCTGGACCCAGCCTTTAATTTTATTTTACAGTAGAAAATATTACAGCACTTTGCATGATCAAGGCCTTCATTTGTGTAGCTGCACAAGTAATTGTGGGCATATTTGGGGGGGGGCGCAACATGTTTTTTTCCTTCTTGGATACCAAAGGAAGGGAAGTTATGAGGCTGCATTTCACTTTGTTTTCCTGAGCCTTCTAATGAAGGTTGCTATCAGTGAACCTGCCTTGCCTTCCACTCTGCCATTTCAGCTATGGATAGATGGGCAATGCAAGTATTTTTTTCCTCGCTATGAATAGACATCAGGGGCAAGCAACTTCCCAATGCGGGAACCCACACCAAGCCCTCCCCCAAAATACTGGGGGATGTATTGATGCTGGTGCAGTGGTTAAACTGCAGGACTGCCGTCAAAAGCTGCTTGTGATCTGTGTTCAGTCCTAATAGATTCAGATACCCGGCTCAAGGTTGACTCAGCCTTCCCTCCTGAGATCAGAAAAAGGAGTACCCAGCTCGCTGGGGGGAACAATGTGTAGCTTGAATCATTAAAAATTGTAAACTGCCTAGAGGGTGCTTTAAGCACTATGGGGTGATATATAAGCAGCATGCTTTCCTGAAAGTAATGTTGCTATTGCGGCTGGCAGCACAGCAGCAATTGTTTATGGTGCAGAAAGATGCCAAAGTTTTCTTCGGTACCGCCAAACCTCCACAAACCAGGAGTCTTCAGGAGGGGCTAGAAAAATTTCCCCTGCTGGAAATCCGAGGGAGCCATTATCAGTCAGAGCTGACCATACTGGGTTAAGATGGTTCAGTCGTTAGACCCAGGCTTCTGAAGCCTCCTGTATTCCAGTGGATGGAAAGTAGGGGGTGAGTCTGCCTTCTGTAGGAAGGGAGGTTGGGCTGCTGCTAGATCAGTGGTACCGATCTGGCTGGGGTTTTTTTGGGAGTACAGTCCAAGAACACCTGGGTTACCCGGAGCTGGGAATTCCTGTTGAAGATGACAGGATATACAAGGGTATCTGACCCAGTGTTGTCATCTCTGGCTTTAGAATGCTTTATATGGGAGGACGTGGCCTTCCAGATATCTTGCCTCAGTGGTTCAGGCTGGACTAGGGCTCCTCAGCTAGTGAGAAAGCAAAACAGCTGATCCAAAAGTGGGGTTGTGTGGTCTGTAAAACACACACTGGGCATTCGCTGCTGTATTACATATGGTTTGTATCTCTAAGCAACCCATACAAGGTTACCTCAAAGCAGGCGACGCCTGATAAAACCGTTGTGCCTTTGGGGCAGCACTGAGGCCCTGACACGGCCCTTGGATGGCTTTGCTTTGTTTTGTTTTATACCGCTAACATATTTGGCAAGTGGCAGGGCAGTAACAAATTTAAGAGAGGATTTTTTTTTCAATCAAAATTGTTATTTTATGAGGAGAAGGTATAAATCCATGTCCATCCATCGCCCCATGTTGCAGGATATATGATAGTACATATAGGATGCAAAAGGACGGCGGGATATTCAACAGCTTCCTTTGGTGAGGCT